GTGCTAATACCACCCTTTTTTAAAAACTATTTTTTTGAGTGGTATATACACAAAATTAAATGTTATTTGGCCATAAAGAAGAATGAAATTATGGCATTTGCTAGTAAATCTATGGAACTGGAGACTATCATGCTAAGTGAAGTAAACCAGTCCCAAAAAACCAAAGGCCAAATGTTCTCTCGATATATGAATGCTGACTCAGAACAGACACGGGGTCTTGGGGAGGTTCACCAGATTAGACAGTGGGAAGTGGATGGAGGGAGGGGGATGGAAATGGAAAAGAAAGTAGAATGAATCAGACATAACTTTCCCATGTTCATATGTGAATACACGACTCATCACGTATAACCACAAAAATGGGAAGTTAGACTCCATGGTATGTATGATATGTCACAATACATTCTACTGTCATGTATAACTAAAAATAACAAATTAAAAAAATTTTTAAGTTTTATTTTGAGACAGGGTCTTGCTAAGTTGCCTAGGCTGGCCTCCAACTTATGATCCTCCTGTCTCAGCCTCCTAAGTAGCTAGGATTACAAGCATGCACTACCATGCCCAGCCCAAATGCCAAGTTTTTAATCCCTGGAAAAATCAGAGTTGCTCTTTGGACAAACCATAGGGTTAAGAAACCCCTGATGGGGGGGGGCTGGAATTGTGGCTCAGTGATGGACCGCTTGCCTCACACGTGTGAGGCACTAGGTTCGTTCCTCAGCACCACATAAAAACAAATAAACAAAATAAAGGTATTGTGTCCACCTACAACTAAATACATATATGAAGAAGAAGAAGAAGAAGAAGAAACTCCTGCCGGTGGGTGGAATTGTAGCTCAGTGGTTGAGCACTTGCCTCACATGCATGAGGCACTGGATTCGATCCTTAACACCACATTAAAAAAAATAAATAAAACAAAGATATTGTGTCCATCTACAACTAAAAAATTTTTTTAAAAAAGAAAGAAACCCCTGCTGGTGGTGGAGTGTTCAAAGGCAGGAGGTTTGTGAACCAACAGGGCCCCAGCAGGAAGATGCTCACACTCTTGGGGGATATTCCAAAGAGTTAAACAAAGGAGTCATTTGCAAAGATGTGGGCAGGGACCAGGGAAACTGCCAAAGCTGATACAGCATCCAGTACTGGTGCCAGAGGGGAGTTTGTATCACCTGTAGGCAGGAGAAACAAAAGGAGGGAAGGAGAACCCAGAAGAGCAAATTTTGGGGCGAGGGCTCCCCAGAGGGGAGCTGTGGCCCTAGCAACTGCATGGAGGGAGCTGGGGAAATCAACCTCCTCATCTTACTCTCCTCCCCATCTCCTGGGGGACACCCTTTGTCTAAATCCTGATACTGCCCTTACCATCTGCTTCCCCAAATGTTGACGTTTAACATCAGAGAAGCGCTGAAGCAAGTGTAGAAAGCAAGAAATTTTATTCAAAGAATTGTAACACAGACTTCTCCCGGTAGGAAGAAGGGGACCCAGAGTTGGAATCCAAGGGAGAAGGAAGTGCTGTCCCTTTTATATATCTTAAGTTTTATTTGTTCTCCTGTGCTCTTCTCCCCTATCTTGTTCCTTTCCCGGATCCTGCATCCTGGGAGATGCAGGTTGGCTGGAAGGGCCAAGGTGGAGTGCCATGTAGGAAGGGAGCAGCAGCCCAGGGGACATTAATTAGCAGCTCCCTATCTGCTCAGGAGTTGCTTCATTAACAACCTTCTTCTGGCTGGGCTCAGGGGCACACACTTGTAATCCCAGTGGCTAGAGGGAGGCTGAGACAGAGGATCGCAAGTTCAAAGCCAGCCTCAGCAAAGGCAAAGCGCTAAGCAATTCAGTGAGACCCTGTCTCTAAATAAAACACAAAATAGGGTTAGGGATGTGGTTCAGTGGTTGAGTACCCCTGAGTTTAATGTCCATACCCCCTTGAAAAAACAAAGGGGCAATATAGGCAAGTAATCTTGGTAATCAAAGGGCTCTGGAGGCATTAACATTCCTATCTCCCAGGGGGCGGGTCTCTCCCAAACTGGCCTTCATTTTCTCCATCTGACCTGATCACCCAGCTACACTAACTGCCTGTCTTTAATTCTTGCTTCAATCCTACTGGAAGCCAGAGAGCGTGGGACAGGGGGCAACAGGGTCAGTACCCCAGGGCATGGAGCAGGGCTGAGCAGGTTAGAGAAGGGCATGGGAAAAATGATGCCTGGAATCATTTTCTTCCCAAATCCATTTTCAGAAGTAACACAGGAACCAGTTGCCCCAGGAGACTTGGTGGTGGGCATAGAGAACTGAGCACCTGAGAAGAAACAAAGCAGCCGCAATCCCACTGACTCAGGAGCCTTAGGCAAAAAGATTGCAAGTTCTAGGCTAGCCTAGGTAATTTAGTGAGACCCTTCCTCAAATTTTTAAAAAGTAGGGAGCAAAGGATGTAGCTCAGTGGTAAAGCACCACTAGGTTCAATCCACAGTACTGAAAACAGAAAGTAGCTCTTCCCCATCTGCTAGCCACCCTTTGTTGCAACTCACCAGTGTCGCACATCTACCCTTGGCCTCCCCAGTAACTGAAAGGCCAGGAAAACTCCAGCTCCTATGTACTGAGCTGTCAGACCTGCAAAAGGCACACCAGTCATGGTTGTATAAAATCCAGCAACTGTGATGTGGAGGTGCCACTTAAAACAGCATCAACCGGCTGGGCACACGCCTGTAATCCCAGCGGCTCAGGAGGCTGAGACAGGAGGATCGCAAGTTCAAAGCCAGTCTCGGCAATGGTGAGGCAGTAAGCAACTCAGTGAGACCTTATCTCTAAATAAAATACAAAAAAGGGCTGGGGATGTGGCTCAGTGGTCGAATGCCCTTGAGTTCAATCCCCAGTACCCCAAAAACAAAAAACCAGCATCAACAGACCCACAGCCTTCCTGGCCACTTCACCCCTCAAGGTTTCTTAACCACCCCCACTAACACATCAGCCTCTGCCAGACCCCATGCTGAACACTCTGAATGTGATCTACCTGTGATCTACGGGGAATCTTCAACACAAATCACATCAGGGAGACTCCTTAGTCCCATATTCAGGATGAAGAAACTGAAAGTGAGAAAGCCCAGGTCCAGGAGATTAAATGGCAAAGCTTGATGCACAGACCCACAGTGATGAATCAGGAAGACTGACTCTCAGGGCATGTTGTTAGCACGAATGACAGAGGGCGGGAGGCGGGAAGCCCTTTATTCAGCAGCAGAGTCAATGGGTCAAACATTCCATGTGGCTCATTTTGGGGATAGAAAATGGCAGCGGGATAAAACACAGGTCTGGGTTTTATGGGCTTCATTTAGGGTGGGTCAGGAGGGTAGTTCCTGGGGTTCACAATATTAGGGTCAGCTGATCCATTAGGGTAGGACGGGAGTGTGAACAGGGAATTTCTTGGGGCTTATTGTATTGGGGTTCAGCTGACCCATAGGATGAGGGGTCAGATGCCTGTTCAGTCCTTTTGTGTCCCTTCCTTTTGGCTGAGGCCTGGGATTTTAAATGACAAAAGCTTCAATTTTACCCCAGACAAAGCCATAGGGGAGACAGCTGCAGATAGGAGAGATGTTCTTGGACTTATTCTCCATATCCTTCAGATATTCCTTCTCACACTGCCAAGTCTTGGTAGAAGGCTCCCTCTGCCTGGAACGCCCTTTCCCTTTCACCAGAAACATCTACTTTCAGGGATCACATCCAGGAAGCCATACCTGAATCCCCACACTTGATCAGGAGTCTCTTCTGGGAACCCCAAAGTCCTCCAGGATTTTTCTGTCACAGCTTGGATGGTTCTGCCTGTTCACTCTCTTCAGTTTATTTACTTATTTTACATTTATTTTTATTTATTTGTTGAACCCAGGACCTGCTAGAAATGCTAAAATATATAAAATAATAATAATAATAATAATACTGAGCTCCACCCCAGCTTTTTTCATTTGAGACAATCTGGTTAAATTGCCCAGGCTGACCTAGAACTTAACAATCCTCCTGCCTCGGCCTCCTGAGTAGCTGGGATTACAGGTGTGAGCCACCACATCTGGGTCCCCTTCACAGCCTTGAGCATCCTGAGCCGTCAATGCTTTATCTTCTGTGGACTTATATGTTCATTTTCAGTGCTGAGCTAGGTTCTGTCTCTAGTTAGAACTTAGAAAATTGTTGGTAAATAAATGAGAGAAAATAATTTCATGAGGAGTGTTCAAAATCCTCAATCCCAGTTCAGAAGTTAGAGAAGAACTGATGTAGAACAGAACCTGAATTTCTGGTAAGGTACAGGGAGCCCCTGAATGTATCAGGTGACCCCCTTTAGTTTCCAGACAGCGGGAAAGGGAAGTCACAGGAAATGATTTATTTAAAAAAAAAAAAAAAAAGGTGTTTTAATGCCTGATACACCTGAATAGAGCTTCTGACTATATCAGCTTTGGGTCTCTGAAGATCAGAGAGGTAAAGCCTCCTTCCTGCCTGAGGATGCACAGCCTAGACCTTTATTTTGTCCTTACCTATTGACTCTGCTGACTTCCCTACACCCTCCAGAGCAGGACAATCACAGCCACCCCTTCCCCTGCTTCCTCAGACAGCTGCTGTGATTTGAATAACCAAGCACACTGTTGGATGTCCGGTGGTGACTGATTTGCCTGACAAACAATGCTCAACTCCTTCTTCCTGCCAGTCCTGGAGCCATGTTTCTCTCCTCTCACCATCCCCCAGAGATGCCTAGGCTCTTTTCCCCTTGCTTGAGCCTCTGGGAGTTTTGTCTGTCCCCGAGGGTGCAGAGTACCCTCAGGAACCTGATCTAAAAGAAGGGGGATGAATGACAGGCCTAGGGTCGAGATTACTAGAGCCAGCAAAGTCTGCTCCCTGGGCTTGTCTCAAAATTTGCATAAAAAAGAGGTTCCTCCCCCACATCCCTCCCTTCCCACCTGGGATAGTGGTCCTGGGCTGAGGTCTGACAGCAGGTGGAGGAGGAAACTCTGCTTGTGAGCAACCACCTCTCCATTCCTGAGGTGATGCCTCGTGTCTTCCTGGTCAGGAGTAGGCGTCCACAACCACCTAACTGGGGCCACCTGCCTGACCAGCTCCGAGGAGATGCCTATATTCCAGGCGGGCCCCTCAATGAGCCTGGGGATGAGGGGCAGGGGAAGAGGCAAGGCATCACCACCGGCTTTCTCTCTTCAGACTGCAGCAGCCTGGCCGGGCTACCGGCCCATCAGTCTTCCCGCCTTGGGGACCCCTGGGCAGCGGTGAGTCTGCAGCTGACCCTCAGGCCCTAGGTGTTTTGCCCCTTCCAAAAGCTGACAGCCCCTTACTCCTGGGCCTGTTTACACATGCCCTTCAGCCTCAAGACCTGTTTTCCCTGCTGGGAATGCCATTCCTGTCCTAGAAAGAGTTCAGTTAGGTCTCAATGAAGCCCCATATTCCTCGGGTAGGCAGCCGCAGATGTGCTCCAGATATCTCTACGTCCAGTGGGGCAGAGAAGGATCCCAGCAAAAGAGTGGATGGCGATTAATTTTTATGCCAGAACATGGAACAAGGTGATAAGAGCAGGATGGGGGATAAGGGTTACTGGGCCCTCTCAGAAGGGGTATTTCAGCTGTGCATGCAAGGGAAGAAGGAAAGCACTAGCCAGAATGCAAATGTGATCAAGGTTAGTTCACTATTTATTCTGAGCCAGGTGCTAAGCACTTAACAGTAGTAAGACAAAAATCTACACTGTAATCAATTTTTATTTCTGATTGGTGCTGAGGACAAACAATAAAACTAGAAAAATATGTGTTGGTATGTTGGAGGATGATACTTGCTATGGAGAAATGTCAAGCAAGGCAAGCATGATGGGGTTTGGTTAGGAAAGGCCCTGGAAAGAAGGTGGCATGTGTTTGCACTGATCAGACTCCAGCCTTCCTCATCTTGCATTCTGAGTTCTTTGTAAGTATTTTTATGCCAAGTATGGGCAGGGTCCAGATGGAGGGGCTAATTTCTGCATCCCCTTGGCAGCCCATGCAGGGAACCCTGGCCTCTGCTCCCAGGAGCCCTGGGACACTTGGCTGCCCTCTCTGCCCCAAGGCCTTCCCACTGCAGCGCATGCTGACACGACACCTCAAGTGCCACAGTCCAGCTCGCCGCCATGTGTGCCGCTGCTGTGGCAAAGGCTTTCACGATGCCTTCGATCTCAAGCGCCACATGAGGACTCACACTGGTGAGTTGTGGCAAGGACTGTGAGGGGCTTCTGGACCAGTTGGGATGGTGATGGTGCCCTGGATGTGGAATTTCCAGTGTCTGTGTACATAGGGCAGGGACACAGATAACAGGAGGCCTGAGACTTGATGTACCTCAGACCCCAGCAAATGGGTATAAGGTGATGCCATGGTAGTGGAGACAAGATGGACGCTGGCTACAGAACTCAGGTCCTAAATCGCAGGGTGCAAAGGAACATCTGCCACCATCTTCCCCAGGGGAAGGAATTTTCTAGTGAGGGACAGTGGTCACAGGGGTTTGGCCCATGTTTGTACTGGGTGGTGGGTAGCAAATGGGTCATAAATAGAAGTTTGATGAGTTTGGGATAGGGGCAGGAAATGCTCAATTTTGGAGAGGAAGGTGGCAAACCTTTAGTCAGAAGGCCATTTCCCTGCCCGACTCTGCACCCCTTCTTCACAGGAATCCGGCCATTCCGTTGTGGAGCTTGTGGTAAAGCATTTACCCAGCGATGCTCCCTGGAAGCACACCTTGCCAAGGTGCACGGGCAGCCGGCCAGCTATGCTTACCGTGAGCGCAGGGAGAAGCTGCACGTGTGTGAGGACTGTGGCTTCACCAGTTCACGGCCCGATGCCTATGCACAGCACCGCACCCTGCATGGGGCCACCTGAGACTGTACCAGCATCCTACCCATGAAGCAAATAAACACAGGAAACAAACATACAAACAGAACCTGGCATTTATTAGGAGAAAGAGAGAGGGGTCACTCGGTCCAGCGGTGGCCACAGTGTGGGGCAGTACATACATAATACAGGCGCATGGCATCCTGGTAGAAAGGATAATTGGTTAGAAGGGTCTGGAGCCTCCAGAGCACAGCATAGGAAGGACCCTCCATCCAGCAGGGCCTCATCCCAAAAGAACAGCCAAGGAAACTTTCCCAATATTAATGATCCAATCCAGGATTCAGGGAAGGGCAAGATCACCCCGATATTTATATCTCCACCCATAGGGAAAGACCAAGCCCCAGGTTCCCAGGAAACTTCCCCCCCAACTCACTTCGGCCCGGGCACTATGTGACTGGAAGAACACCGCCTCCTTGTGGCCGCACCTGAAGGAAAGGCCCAGTCACCCAGTTTAATACACCTTTCCCACCTCTCTCCACCACCCAGTAGGACAAGCCATGCTCCCGCCCCGAACTCACTTCTGGCATGGATGGTCCTCGGTCCGTGGTAACGTGGGGTCCTGGGACACATCAGCAATGATCTGGGTCAGTTCGCTGCAGGAATGGGGAGGTGAATAAATAAGCTCAGTCCCGGACTCCCAAGACAACACCCTTGCCCCCAATCCCTGGTCACGACACTCACTCCACTTCGTGCGTGATTTTGTTGACGTAGATGCAGCTGTTATCGGCTTCCTGCTGATAATCACAATTCCGGCACTGTGAAAGGGCGAGTGTGGAGGGTCACCAAGAGACTAGGGGTCACCAATAGGAATGGGAGGGCAGGGAGATTCCCGGAGGGGATGACTACGGGCCGGATGGACAAGAAAGTGATAGGAGGTGAGATCAATACACTTCGGGAGCGAATAGGAAGTGTGTGTCACACTGAGTAGCATGCTGCCACGAGGGGATCCAGTGGGGCGGCTGGAGGCCACGGGGAGGCCTGCGAGCTCGCACTCACCGCATAAAGCAGAATGCGGTTCTCCTTGTCTTCCTTGGGGTACAACATGTTGTTACTGTAGGGAAGAGGAAGTCAGAGGTCAGCCCTTGAGCAAGTCCTTGCTCCCCTTCCGCACCTGCTTCCCTTCTCACCATTCCTGGCAGAATCGAATGCCCACGAAGCCCGGTTCGTAGGTCCCATCTGGTTCCATAGCGACGAACTGCCTGTCAAGCCTTCCGCACTTGCTCCGCCGCGCTACAGGTCGCGGGAAGGGTCAGGCCAAGCAGCGGCGCCAAAGAGGGACGGAGCCGCGCACGTGTATAACTGACGGTAGCCCTGTGCTCGGCTCTCTCCACGCTTAGGTTTGGCTGATTGCTTCCCTTGATTTAATTTTTTAAAAATATTCTATGGTAATTGCTTCCAATTTCGGCACTTCGCCTCCCCATTTTACAGAATGGGATGGATATAGTGCAAAATCCGGGAATATGATGCACAAAGTGACCCCCTAGGTGCTGGACATAAATAGAAGCAGCCATTACTCTCTGTTTGGATCCACGCCAGTGCACACGCGCCACGCTTACCCTTCGCGGACCGGGATAACTCCTGCCAGTTCTTCCTCCCAGCTTCAGCTTAGGCCCGACCCGGCCGTTTCCGGTGTGGCTATTGGAAGAATTGTGAACTATGGAAGGCCTCTCGGGATTGGCTGGGTCTAAGAAGAGGGCGAGTCCTTTTCCCGGCAGTGGAGAAGGGACGGCGGCGGTTGGTGGATCCTAAAAGTGAGAGCGCGTGGATTGGTCTGGTCCGGGAGTGGGGGCGGGGCTGGTATCCCAGAAGCAGCGGCGGCGGAGCCGGCGTGAGACGGCTGTATCGGGCTGCGGGCCACTGCAAGGCGCGGCGAAATGGAGGTGGCGGGAATATCGGCGCCCACAGTGACCGTTTTCATTAGCAGCTCCCTCAACAGTTTCCGCTCTGAGAAGCGGTACAGTCGGAGTCTCACCATCGCTGAGTTTAAGGTGTGACTGGGGGGCGGGGTCTAGAGGGGTGGGGCAAAAAATGCGGGGTTTCCCGAAGGTGGGGAGGGGCCTGAATGTAAGGGGCGGGGCTAGAGATTTCTGAGGTTGGGGAGCCTGGAGACCCGGCCTATGCAGATGGGGCTAGAGAGAATCTGAGATTGCAGAGAGTAGGGGCGAGGCCAGAGAAAAACCCGATGCTCCAGAAGGCAGGAGCTAGAGTAGAGGAGGTGGGGCCGGGAAGGCCCCTCAGAACCTCCTAGGCCCTGGATGGTCTTTTAGAGAAGCCGGGATAGGGTGATGGTTGCTAATAGTAGGCGGAGCCTCAGGGCAGATGATGGGGTCACTGACACCCTTTCTCCTCATCCCCGCAGTGTAAACTGGAGCTGGTGGTGGGCAGCCCTGCTTCCTGCATGGAACTGGAGCTGTATGGAGTTGATGACAAATTCTACAGCAAGTTGGATCAGGAGGATGCATTGCTGGGCTCCTATCCTGTAGATGACGGCTGCCGCATCCATGTGAGGCCACCCAGCTGGAATCCCATACCTCATTTACTCAACAAATATTTGCTGTGCTTGCCCTGTGTAATAACCCATATAGGCCCTGCCCTCATGGCATCCCCAGTCCAGCACAGATAGACACCAATAGATAGTGACAGTCCAGAGTAGTCTGTGCTAGGATAGTAAAAGCTTAGGGAACTGGGGGTAGAAGTGTTACTTGACTCCACCTGGAGGTTTCAGAAAGAGCTTTCTGGAAGAAGGGACATTTGAGGAGACCTAAAGATGAGCAAAGAGGTAGAAGGGGCATGCCCAAGTAGATGGAAAAAAGTGTACAGAGTTCTAGAGCATGAGGTGAGCCTCTGTGAGCAATGAGGCTAGACAGGTTGGGAGAAGCTAGAATGCAGAGGACCTCTTTGTGCCTACATTGTTCTTTCTCTGCTTAGCATTCCCCTCTCCCACCTCAGTCTTTACCTGGCACATTGTTCCTTAGACATCCCAGGTGAACTCCACTTTAGGGCCTTTGCATGTGCTATATTATATTTTCTTCATGAATAATTCTCTATATGTCCACATGGCTTCCCCCTTTCTTCTTATGTTTACTTAAAATGTCATCTTTTGCTGGGCAAAGTGGCATGTGCTTATAATCCCAGCAACTCTGGTTGCTGAAGCAGGAGGATCACAAGTTTGAAGACAGCCTCAGCAATTTAGTGAGGCCCCTAAGCAACTTAGTGAGGCCCTGCCTCAAAATTAAAAAATAAAAAGGGGCTGGGGGTTAGCTCAGTGGTGAAGTACCCCTGGGTTCAATCCCCAGTACCAAAAAAAAGTCACATTTCAAGTGACACCTTCACCTGCCTAAATATAAAATTATAATTTCATCCCTTCCCCCCTTTTTGTTCTTTATTTTAGATTTTTTTATTTCAACACAGGGGCTTACTGGCTTTGAACTTGGAATCCTCCTCCCTCAGCCTCCCAAGTTTGCTTGGATTACAGATATATTGTCATATATTGTCATTGAGTATATTTTAAATTTTTGCTCATAGCTCTTATCACTCTCTGACATACTCTGGATTTTTCTCATTGGTCTGGTTTATTTTGTGTCTCCCTGATTTGAGTGTCCAGGAGAGTGGAAATTTTCATCACTCTGTTTCACTGCTGTGTCCTCAGCATCTGGAACAATGCCTGGCACAGAGGATACTCAGTGAATCACTGTTGGATGATGAGTTGACTCTACAAAATAAGACCAAGAGGTCAAGTGCAGGACGCATACCTATATCCCAGAAACTTGGTAGGCTGAGGCAGGAGGATTGCAAGTTCAAGGCCAACCTCAGCAACTTAGCAAGACCCTTGGAAACTTAGTAAGGCCCTCCCCCAAAATAAAAAATAAGAACTGGTAAAGCAGGAGTGCTTCACCAGTACACCCCCCCCCCAAAAAAAAAAAAAAAAAAAAAAAGACCAAGAAGATGGTATAATTATCCTCATTTTGCAGAGGACAAAACTCAACTTCAGGATGAAATATACTTTCGTAAGCATGAACTATTGATAGAATTTTTCATTTTGTCTGCACGACTCTAGAAGTTCATGTGTCCAGAGTACTGGTTCTTTATTTTCTGTCCTTTGTTATTCAATAATTGAACATCTGTATTGTGCCAGGAGTATAGCTGTGAGTCATATCTGAGGAGGTCCCTGTTTTAGCTGTGTCTAGTGTGTGAGGTAGATGTTAGCCAAATGATCACAGGAGCAAATATGAAAGGTAAGTTTTAACTGAGGGCCTTGCAGGAGATCATGGAGCTGGGAGACCCTATACTGGGGTATCTGACCTATCATGAGGTCTGGGAGGATTCCTGGAGCGGGTGCTGTTTGATCAGAGACCTACAGAAAAGGGAGAGTTAACCAAAAAGGGGGAAAGGTGCTCTGGCAGGAGGACATAGCACATGCAAGCACCCTGCAGTGGGAGGGAGCACAGTGGGTGCCGGACTGTGGGTGAAGGAAGTGGAAACTGGGAAGGAGTCAGCCTAAGGGCCCTGCTCTGACTCAGGTTTTCACGAGCTCCCTTGGGCTGCAGGTGAGGAACAGACTGGGGGACAGGAGGAGCAGGGACACCAGGAGGAGGATACTGTAAGAGTCCAGATGAAGTGATGGGCAGGACTAGCAGTTGTGAGTCAGGACTCTGCTGGGCCCACAGAACTGAGACTTGGGGCTGACCAGCAGCTACAGCCGAGGGATGCAAGTGGGGTCAGTCATGGGTGGCAGCACCCTCAATCAGGAGGGCTTCACACCCATGTGGTACATCCCAGGCTATTCAAGGACAGTGTCCCAGGGTTGGAACCTCTGGGAATTTTGTTTTTTTCCTAAAATTCCTTTTCTGTTGGTAAATATCAGCTACATGCACTGCTTAAAATGACAGTTTTTCAAACTTTAAAAAAATTCATGACCTAGGGAATAGAAATTCTTAGCGATCCTAGACTCGGAGGTAAGGACCATTTTTATTTTGCCGTGTTAGCCT